CAAATTATCGCTTGCCTTATTTGGCAAGAAGAGCGTTGCTATTTAAGTCAAAATAGCAAATATGTATATAAAATATATATATAATATATATATATATATATATATATATATATATATATATATATATATAATATATATATATATAAGACGCACAGAATGTCTTAAAATGTTCTTTCCCAAATGTGTCTTAATTAATTAGTTCAGCCACGTCACTGTTGCCTCCTAACCTTCTCTTTCTCTCAAGGGAAGCGTCTTTAGGCTGATGAAGGGCTCTTGATCCAAGAAATTAGAACTACCTTTCACTTCACTGAATTAAAATTGATTGCCTTCCATTCCCCAGGCACTGTGACGCCTCATGGGTTTAGCACTTCTCATACACTCCCCTTCAGTCTTCAGACTCTTTTGTATTCACGAAATTATTTTTTTATTCTAACTTGCTAATTATATTTATCATAATGAGATTTTAGCTGAATGTTTATTTTTTACTGGCAAGTTTAATGTCTTCCGTTACACCTCATTATCTCAAGTTTTCCCAAGTTGGCTTAATTGTATAGACATCAAAGTTAGCTGGTATTTCTTTTACCAGTCTGAGTTTAGTCTCGGTTTTAAATTTGCGTTGAGAATGGCAGTTAGGAGCAGGCGAGTTAAGCAGTAAGATTTTTTTTTTTTTTGGTTTACGTTGTTTTGTGAGCTTAGAGTATAGGTGTAAGGAAGGTAGTGAATTGGAGTTTTATCATTTAAAATAGATGGAAATACTCCATACATATTATCTGGTTGTAAACGATATGTATGGTAATCCCAACCAACTGTGGTGAAGGACGCTTGTACGTAGTTCAGGACTTTTGTTAAATGGAAAAATATCGCCATCAGTCCGAATTATGAATCATCAGTACTAATTATGAATCGTCATCAGTTCTAATTATGAATCAGTACTAATTATGAATCGTCATCAGTCCTAATTATGAATCATCAGTACTAATTATGAATCATCATCAGTCCTAATTATGAATCAGTACTAATTATGAATCGTCATCGGTCCTAATTATGAATCGCAAAATCATATGTGGCGAAAGGTATCCCTTAAAACGTGTCCTGAACACAAGTATCCATTTACCTCTACCTATTATTTCTGTGTTGACTGTCATCATTATCGCAGAGTTGTTTACTCTGATAGTTTAGTGTAAGAAGGAGAACAATAATTTTCAGCATTAATTGCGCTTTAGAAACATTACAGAACAAGGATTATAAAATAATAGATAACTGTGAACCGAGAGGATACAGAGAGATTATTTCCCCTTTTCCCTCTGGCTTGACCTACTTCCATCATAGTAACTAAGTAAAGTGATGCTGCAGAAACCGCTATGCATTATGCAAAATAACGAACTCGTGAACAAATTTAGCATAAAGGATGAAACGGAAGATACAAAAAATATAAAGTACCGTGACTGTAACAATACACAATTAACCCGCACACGGGAGACAGAACCTTATGACGACGTTACGGTCCGACTTGAACCACTACCGTCGTTTTAAGTTCCTTTCTCCTATGTGCGGGTTATTTGTGTGAGGAAGATATAAACACGACGAAGCTTTTACAGAACTGTACAATAAACACTAATCATTCACAAAACTGTTCAGTCCGTGAGCGATATAAATGATCGCGTTTACTTTTAGGCTTTCCAGAAAGCAGCATTTTTTAATGTACATTCAAGGAGAAGCGCTAAAACCGTAAGGATCATACACCAGACGAGCCTGGCCAGTGGCCGGGCTCTGGGAGTAGAGACTCAAAACTCATAGGTATATCAAGTGCCTGGTGAAAGGGAAGCACTCAGATTCAGTTCGAGGAAAGGGAGAATACCTCCATTTCCTAGGATCAAGAGCCCTTCACCGGCATCAACGCACCCGTCATGCTCTGCATTAGTCAGGCTACCAGACAGATGGCAGCATCACTCCTGACAAACGCAATTAACTCAGTATCCAGAATTATTATTTTCTTAATAAACGATCGAACTGTGAATAAAATGAGTTATTATAAATAATCCACAATAGGATACTTATGGCCTTTTATTGAGATGTTTCGTCCATCAGGGACTTTGCAAATTCTAAAGTCCCTGGTGGGCGAAACGTCTTCCCAATACAATGCCATAAATGATTCAGAAAGTCGACAAGTTGGTAAATTGGACACATCTGCAACATAATATACTCACGTGTTGCACATGTGTCTAATTTATCAACTTATCGGTTCTCTGAACCATTTATCTGCATTCCTATCAGACACAGTAACTTCTTGGGTCTTATTGATAAATTTGTCTGCCTGTTCTGCCACTGATATATTAGGATAGTTATTGCCTCAGTACTATAAAAGGACAGATAGTGTTTAAACATTAAACAGCGACAGTCCAATGTTCATCACCAAACAAGAATGTGTAGCTGGGTGAATGATGAAATAAAACGAAGAAACGTGACAGCCTCAGCATGAACGTCCATGGCTGAAACTGTA